CATTAGCATGGACCTATGTCACCTGTACAAGGACCATGTATAGTAAAACTCACCAACCTAAGAGAACAAATATAACAGCAGTTGAATAATTTTTAATCTGCATACGGAAAAGCAAAGGAGGCAAATTTTACTTTTTTTTTTTTTTTTTGTACAGGTTCTCTCTCTGCCAGTATATAGAGGGACGGTGTCTAATATGGCTTTCAATAACTTTGTTTTCCCCAAAAAGGATTTATTGCAACTAAGTCCAGAGCTTGAAAATCATTAATTCAGAGTACAGCTGTCCTGCAAATCTCTGTTGCTCACAAGGCAGTGGCCAAGTTCAAAGGCTAAACAACTTTAATTATGTTGAGACTCTTGCCAGAGAAGTTAAAGGAAAGTATCTTTTTAGTGAAGTTATCTTTCCCTTTAGTTTGTACACTGCACAAAATGAAGCCATAGGATTCTCATCTTTCAGGGATATATGCAAGAATATCTTCTTTGTCTATGATGTAGCGTTTGGTTTTCTTGTAAATACAGGAACTATACCTGGTGACTGTGAAAACTTGTCTTCATTTCTTAGTGTAGGTGAGAGGAGTTTCTAAACTGGAATAAAAACTTTACTGTATTTGTACTGTGCTAAGAGATGTAGTGATTATGCAGATATACCTTATGCTAAATATTTGTCAGAAATCTTTAGAGAGGTCTAATTGGGCAAATTAATATTTTGTTAAGAAGATTAATGGTAGTGAAATAAAAAGGAATATGTAGTCAATGATGTAAAAGCAGAAGATGAAGAGGAGTTACAGTTCTTTACCACAGTCCTTTATCATGTTTTGGTTTGGTTTGGTTTGGTTTGTTTTTTTTTTGGTTTTGAGCTCACCAAGTATGGGATGAGACCATGACAGCTAGGACCAGTACCGTAGAAAGAGCAAATCCTAGCAGTAGTTAGCCTATGCCAGAGAGTGTTTAGCGAGAGAGGGGGGGAACCTTAAAAGCAGTGCTAAGAAGGTAAATGTGAATGTCTGCGAGAGTTTAGGTATACTTTTTACTGAATAGACCAAGAGAGTACTTACATGTTTTCAAGTGCTAATAATATATTTATTTCTGATTTTGTGTTCTCTCTGCCTGATGGAATATTGGTAAGGATCTTTGTGTGAAGAGGTTGATAATTTTGCATGTGTGTGTGTAGTATATTTTTTTCAAAGTAGCTTCCAGTGATGTTGAAGTACATGATTAAATCATACAGGAATGGTTATGTTGTCGGTTATATCTTGAGAGTGTAAGCTGTTCAGAACTTTCAGTAAAGCAACAAATAAATACAGGCCTCTAGAAAGTATTTTCCAAGTGTAGTAAACTTGAAGATTGATTCAAACTTTCTTCTGCAGCTGGGTAGATGGAAGGAAAAGGACAAATGTTAACTTGAGAACAGCTGTTTTGAACTTGGTTATTGCTATGCTGACTGGAGAGGTGGAATGCTGTTTGTTTAATAGCACAGGATAGAAATATTTTTATAAGGAGAAAATGCAGCTGTAAGAAGATGGTGGAGTTGTATTACCTGAATCTTTTTCCTGCAGAGTGCCGAGGGTGGCTGTAGCAGTGGTGTGTGCTGTGCTCTGAAAAACAGTTAGAAGCAGGGGGACTTTGACTTGCTTGGATGCACTCTGAGATGTCTGTGCATATGAAAATAATGTCAGAGGACATTAGAGGAACCCTAGAGGTTGTTTTTTTTTTTGCTTCTTTTGAAGTTGCCTCCCTGTTCCTGCTTATGATCCCCTGTAATCCATTCCTCCTTCCCACATGTTCTTTTTTGCCTTGTCTGATGGTTATGCATGTTTTTTAGGATTTGTTTTAATACAGCAGTACTGTGAAAGATGTGCTGATTTATATGAGGTGTGGATTATATGGGTGAAAACACAATTTATTAAAATTTAATTTAACTTTTTTTATTATTGTAACTCATGCATCTGGATTAAATTTCACTCATCATGAGAAGTATCTGGTGTGGGTCATTCTGATTTAACAGTTTCATGTGGTAGCATCCAGGTGTGTGCAAATTATTTTGTCTCTTGGGGATTTAGAACATTGTAAATGCTGGGAGAGATGATCTGGACTGTGCTGTGCTTGTTTTAAAAGATCTCTTGGTAACTGTCATAATGCTTTTCCAAGATAATTAAACCTTGAGCAGAAGGTTATTAATATTCTAGAGGTGCTTATATATTGCAAATGCAGGGATAGTTGGGAGAAACAAAACTCAAAACTTTAGCTTATTGGGCCAGTGCTTTCTGTATAAGCTGCTACTTTTAGGCAGTATGAACTCCTTTTACCTAACAGGTTGAATTGCTTGGTGAAGGAAAAAAACCTACCTTGGCTTTCTTTAGTGAGGTTTTGCTGGTGATTTACAGATTTTTCCAAAAGACTTTTCTGCTGTAATCCTGTAGAAAGCACCGTGCTTACAGGAACACTTGTACTTTTACTAACATGAGTTGTAGAAGCTGCAGAATCTGTTAATTATTTTTCTGTTTGAAGACAACTGTTTTATTGAACCGTATCCATGAACAAAAGCAGTGCATCTCGGAAGCAGGCATCTTTCTTCTATTGAGGAAGTGTGTAAATTTTTTTAAGAATGTCAGGTTTATTGTATTAGCTTGAAACAGACATCTTTGTAATTTGGAGGAGTAGCTGAATTTGCCAAGTCATCTTAGGTAACTGAGGGATATTTTTCTCCAATGTGAATGTTCATTTCAAGAGATTTGATATGCTCATACACACATTCCTGCTGGCTCCTAGGAATAAGTGGCCTGTAGTGGTGAAGATCTGACTATGGCCAGGAGGTCATGAAGTCAATCTAATTAATTTAGATCTTTCTAAATCTTCAGTCCCTTTAGGCTGAAAATAAAACTGTAATGAATTTTAAGATCACTGTAGTTAGTCTACAGATAATCACGATCCATGTTGGGGGAAAAACCCTCAAAAAGTTGAGGGAAAGGATGTCAGTCAGGTTTAAAAAACTATGTAGGTTTTTCTGCAAATATTTACTTTAATTTGAGAAGGAATTAGGTGGCACAGCCCTTAGATGATGTTTTGATGGGTTCGATTAGCTGCTGACACAGATAAAGGGACTGAGTCATGAATCTTTCTAATCTGTTAAAATATGCATTTTGTACAAGAACAAAGAAGCTCTAATACTGTTGCTGATGTCTTTGAAATCTAACATAAAAACGGGTCTTTTAAATCTTTTTGAAATTGCAGCTTTCATATAGTAGGCAAGAAGAGAACAATTTGTCAGAGTAACTCCTGAACTTTTTTATAAGAGCTTTCACAAGATGTTATAAAGAAAGAAATGTTAAAAAAATCTAAATTATATAATCCATGTAATTACATATGTTTTGTTCTGTTTAATAAAAAAAGATATTGAATAACTGAACCCAAATTTGGTTGATTTTTGTGGTAAAAATTTTTCAAAGTACATTGTAGATCATGTACATTAATGCATTTTTTTGCCTCAGTTGTAAAATTTAAGATGCATTTTGTTTATATTAGGTAAATTTAACACTTCAAATTGTTAATCTGTTAAGTGTGGCTTCAGGGTTCAAGATCAACATCTTAAAAAAAAAAAAAAAAAGATGAAGAAAAAAAAGAAAGCAATCCCCACAGAAAAGCAAATCCCCAAACTCAAATTATTACGCATGTTGTAGTAAAAGGGTTAGTCTTGCTTCTCAGGTCTACGGGCTTCTGTGAGTTCATTTCTTAATTGAAATTCAGATTTATTTAGAAATAGTGTCCTGAATATCTAGGGTTTTAATCCAGGTGCATTTCTGTTTAAAAAACCCCCAGCAAACTCAGGATAGAGACGCTGTATATTTGCATTAAAAGCCTTGTTATACTCTTCTAACCAGAAACTCGATAGTTATCACTGAGCCGTTGTCTTTCTCTCCATCTTTCCCATCAAAGCTGTGATAACAGGATGGCTTAATATATGATACCAAATTACAGAAGTGTCATCCAAAAGATGAAATACACATTTTGAAACACTAACAGTGAAAGCCTGAGTTGGCATTGTTAGAAAAGCTCCCATTGCTGCCTTAACCTTTCAAACAAGCCCTTAAATGTACTTGCTTGCAATTTTGCAAAATGTTGAATACAATTAGCTTTATATATTAGAGAAATTTGATGTTCAGCACTTTAAAGGGCTTGCTCTTTACCACCTAATTTGTAGAACTTGGTAATTGGTAGTGTGTCTTGCCATCTGTAGGAAAAATAGCTTAATTTCCTCAAAATATGTATGTATATCTATAAAAAAGCATATAGAAATTAATCTTCTAAGTCTAGACTACATAGTTGAAATTATTTTTATTTGAAGTTTATCTCCTAAGGTACCATATGTAGTTGAATAAACCCATTTTTTGAGCCTCTTCTATATAAATGCATTTGATTAAAATGTTATGCCTGCTTAATTGGCTTCAGAGACTTGCATTTCAGTATTTTTAAGATGTCTACAAAAGTTTACTCTTCCACTTAAATGGAAGATAACAATATAGCTTTTATGTTTTTCACATTCCTGGTAGTCACTAGTATAATTAAAATTGCATTAACTAAAATATATTTACAAACATTGCTTGGTTGGTTGTATTTTGTTTTGTTTTGTTTTTTTACAATAAAATTTGATACCTTTTTTTAAAAGTTAAAATATTGTTTCTGCATAAATGTACACGAAGTAGAGAGAACATTGCTTATAAAGTTTTTTAATATAAAGTCTGTGGTCTACACTGTAAGTAAGAAACTGCAAGTAAGGATTCTGTGTATTGAGAATTTAAATTTTGTGAAGACGTCTTGCTCAACTTGCAGAGACATTATTGTATTTCATGCTTTAATTGCAATTTAGAGAGAAAGGAAACATAGATAATGTTTAAAATTAAGATTGTATTTTTATGTCTATGGGCAGTTTTGAAATTTTGCTCAACTAATAATTCATAAAGACGGACATTTTGACAAATACTTCCTGTTTTTTGTTCCTTACACAGACCAAAGAAGTTGGTTTACTTGATGCAGACATATATGGACCTTCAATTCCAAAGATGATGAACTTAAAAGGAAACCCAGAATTAACACCAAGTAAGTGGAATCGATTTTTCTTGCTTTGTACAGGGATGAGCATGGACCATTCATTGGTGCTTCCTTGGTATGGCACAGAAACAATGGAAAAAGACCCCCCCCTTTGTGTGTTGTTTTTTTTTTTTTTGTTTGTTTGTTTGTTTTTTTTTAACTAGGCTGTACAAATAGGAGCATATTCAGAGTCTTCTCTTTTTTATGTCGGTCCACAGGCTTTGGGAGTTTCCTGGATTATTACTAGAGACACTGGAAAGGGTAGCTAAGAAAGGAAGGCTATTTTCAGTAGTTTTAAACTTGCTATACAGGATCCCACTATAGAAGATCTCAGAATTAAAAACCAAAAAGCAGTAGTCAAGGTAAAAACCCGAAATAATCTAGGAAATAAAAGAAGGATCATTACAGTATCTTGTGCAAAATGTCATTGAACTGATTCTGTTTGATCTTTTTCTTCAGCCAAACATGCCAGACCACTTGGTTAATTTCTGTTTGAAGCTGTGTGTTTAGGAATGCAGTAGTGGTGACTTCACTACCAGAAGGTAAAGACAGTAGACAAAACTCCTACTTTTCCTTCTGTTAGGAAGGATTCTGGTCTGGGGAAAAGTACATTCGGGTAGGAGAGTCTGGAGAGAAATAAGGAAGACCCAATATAGAAAGGTTGCATCAAGTCTGTTTACCTTTCAGAAATTTAATTTCCATTCAGGCCAACTAGGTGTGAAACTGAAGAATGGCCTCATCATGATACCCTGTTCCATGTAATGCTTGAGTGTAAGGGAGTGTGCTTTCTTTTGGGGATGGTAGGGACACTGAAGTGGTAGGATTTGTTTAATGCTTCGTTTTGCCCATCCTGTGATAAAGTGCATGTAACTATAAAAATTAAAATCATGTAACCACAGACAAAAACAGTCCCAGACTTCAACATCTGACCTACACATTATGAAGTACTAGGATCCTACTGAAGAAAGTAGAAACTGGGAGTACTTGTTGACAGGGGGAAGGATCAAGGACCGTGTACTAGTTGAAATAGGACATAAAAGGGCTTCAGTGAAATAATCAACTGTAAACACCCATTGATGTTTGTGGGCACTAATTGCTAGGTAAAAGGGAAGTTAAATATTCCTTCTACTTCCTTTCATGCCATGATCTTTGTTTATTTATCATAGAATCATAGAATAGTTTGGGTTGAAAGGGTCCTTTAAAGTTTATCTAGTCTACCAAGCTGCAGTGAAAAGGGACATCTTTAACTGGATTAGGTTGCTCAGAGCCCTGTCCAACCTGGCCTTGGATGTTTCCACGGACAGGATAGCTACCACCTCTCTGGGCAGCCTGTGCCAGTGTTTCAACACCCTCACCGTAAAAAAATTATTTCTCATATACAGTCTGAATCTACCTTTCTTCAGTTTAAAACCATTACCCCTCATTCTATCCCTGCACTCCCTGATAAAGAGTCCCTCCCCATCTTTCCTGTAGCCCCCTTTAAGTACTGGAAGGCCGCTACAAGGTGTCCCTGGAGCCTTCTCATCTCCAGGCTGAACAACCCCAACTCTCTCAGCCTGGCCTCTTTGGAGAGGTGCTCCAGCCTGCTGTTGTTGTAAGATGTCCATTTGTAACTGATCTTCATTTGTGCATGTGTGTGGGTGTTGTGGTGGTGGTTGTTCTATACATTCTCGCTTGGTATAAAGCATGCAGAACGAAACAGTGCCAATATCTTTAAAGGGTGGTTATTGAGCTTGCAATGTTAGCCTCTGAAAAATTAAGTGGCAAATTTACTAGTTCTAATATAAATAAAATTCTGTCTCCATATGCTTATACCCTCTACTCTGGATAAAGTATTATATTTCCATATACAGATGCACTGCATGCACTTATGCAGGCACCTTTTAAATAGAGTGCTTTCTACATTTAAGTACCTGGCTTACAAATACAGAGTTTATTTAGATTAAGTTCTAAGAGAGAAGAATAGTACTTGGTTTTATTTGTTGAGTTTGTGTTTTATTTTTTTTAAGTCAAAGGCTAATTCTCTTCTGTAATAAATAAATAACTGAACCCTCTCATGTATCATCAGCAGAGTTTGACTTCCTGATACAAATTGAAGTATTCTTGCATACTCTTGTACTTTGGACCCCATTGAGGGTATATGTCATATGGGCTGTGTTTTATCTGTAACAGATTTTGTTGCTTTGAATTTTGCATTTGAAGTACATTATGCAATATGAACACAAAATGGACTAGGTTGTGGAGCTCTTTGTATTTCTTCTTTTCCTTTTTACTTGATGCTGATTTTTTTTTCTTTCCAGAAGGGATCAGGTAGAAATTTGATTCTCCATTTTTTTTTTCCCCCCTGTCTGAGAAATTGATTAGATAACTTTAAAATTCTTATACATTTTGTTATGTATTTTATCAATCCATACCAAATTTAAATCCATGTCATGAGCCACAAATAAGAAGCAAGTTGCCCAGATTATTTCATACAGCCATACAAATAAACTTGCTATGAATGCAAGAACTTAAGAGTATATTCAGTCAGATAATAGGGCAGCTCAATTTTGTTTGCACATACATTTCAGTGACTGTAGATATTTTGGGTATACACCTGAGAATTCACTACAAGCTTTTGTCTTAACATGTTTCAAGTGTTGCTAAAACTATGGAATTTAATGTAATAGAAATTGGAGATTTCCCTGAATTGAAATTGCTTCTGTTGACTTGTAAGCACTAACATTTAGATCACTAAAATGTATTCTTTCTACTTCTGCGTGGAATGTACAAGAATATATTATCAAGATTTAAGAAAATATTTCATTGTTTAACTGGCAGAAAATGAATTTGCATATTTTAAAAGCTTGGCACATTACACAAGGCTACTGAGAAACTCATGTAGTAATTCAGTACGAATGATAACAGGATGGAATTTGTATTTCTGGAAGTCTGTTCACTTCTTTGTGCACTTATGAGTTGATGAAGCTGTAGAGTAACAACGACAGTGCTGGTGAAGCAGCTGACATTAGGATGATTTCATTGTGAAAACAGAAATTTGGAGGGCATAGAAAGCTTTAATTGTGAGTTTCAGGGATTCCTTCAGTGAATGACAGATAGGATAATCTCTCAAGGAAGGGATCCATCATAGCTATGTGTGTATATATGGTGTGTGTGTATATATACATATACAGATAGTAAAATATGTATGACCCTTGCATTTTGCTATAATGGAGTTTAGTGTTATTTTCTTCCAATTTCTTGTTATATTTTCAAGAATAAAACATAAACCCCGAACAAATATTGTTTTGTAGAATAACTGAGTAAACCCAGTCAGTCCTGTGTTAAAAATGTGCATTAACAATGTGTAACAATGAGTCAATTAAAAACATTTTTTTTTTCAATAGCATAGCAATCAAAAATTATGTTTAAAGTCTATTGCTGTCTTCATGGTGAAGCCTGAACTTGAAAATGAATCTGTAGAGTAATCCTGGGAGGTTCTGAGTGCTCTGGCACTCTCTAATTTCTGTTTTATTTTCTCACATGTAGCAGTTGAAAAGGGATTAGGGATGCCTGATAACATACAAAATAAATCTGTGCAGCAATTATTTCTTCTGAATAGAAATTATTATAGTTATTCTATAATTTAAGTTTTCAAAATGAATTAGGAGTTCTTAGGAGGAAGTCTGTATAAATGGAAGATACTCCATTAATTTAATTTTTCAAACTGTAGTACATTGGCAAGTCTGCTAAAATTTAATAGGGTGTCATTCAAAATACTGTAACTAAATGGTCAGGGAAATATTGGTTAATAAGTTCACAACTGAATTTAATTAGCTAATGGAGGATTATCTAACTATGGAATGAATATTAACACCAGCTACAATATATACATAGGCCAACGGTTATAACAAGAAACAAAAGCTTTACTTCTATTCTTTCTCCAAATAATTTACTTAAAAGCTGTTTTCTGGCTTAGTGAACTGCATAATTTAATTTTTTTCATTTTTTTTAAGTCTACCTTTTAAACTAGTTGGCAGAGAGTAAAAGCTATTACATTGCCAAAAAGATACTGCTATTTTGCCAGATAAATATAACATTTCTTCACTTTGAATGATTATGGAGGTTTTGGTGGGCTTTTTTTATGATAGTTTAGTGTTTTCTTGATATTTCAAAGCTGTTTTACCATTTCATGATATCCTCAGTGTCTTTTTTATTTCTAAATAATGTAATATATTCAAAAGATCAGTAGGGTGAATCTGTTTTTAAAATTTGGAATAAAAAGTAATTTCTGAGGGAAAGCTAGCAGTAGTTGTGTCTGGCCCTGTTGAGTCTAATAATATTGCAGGAGCTATAGAAATGAAATTACTGATAAAATTCTAAAGTCAGAAATGGACACTTGCATTTTTTCACTGGGACACATTTACATGTCTGCTACTCTTTAGACTGTGATAGCAGAATCTTGTAACAGAAAGTGATAGTTTAAAATAGTCTGTTGTTGACTGTTTAAATACATCTGCTGGAAATAGCTGTATGAAGGGATTGTGGTGCATCCACTTGAGGGTTATAAATAGAAAATTTGGAGTGGACTACTGAAACAGAGAAAATGTTACATAGGTAGCAGAATTATTGAGGTAACCATGAGGAAGTATCTTGATCTTACATAAGGGTTTAATTTTAAAGATACAGCTTGTATTCTCAAATTGTCTTTATTGTGCTTTACTAGTGGAGCTGCACCATGATTAATTTAAATAAAAACTAAATTTGATTCCTTCAAAAAAGTCATATTTGCTACTGCTATTACCTCTTGTTTTGTTAACAAGTGAATTTTAGAGTGTGTGTAGTCTAATGATATACTTTACTGTTCTATTTTGAAAGAAGTTTGAACTGAAACACTGTGTTTTACTTTTGGTGATGTCTTATCCCAGTTTATCTGGATAGCTGAAGTAGTCTTACATGTGACAAAGTAAGAATTCAGAATGTTATAATTAGTTGTTTATATATTGGAGGCTCTTTTGGATGTGATGAGACAGTTGAAAATGAGAAGACTCAATTGTTAAATATTTTATTCTGGACCTTGACCGTTGCCCTCAAGCCTGTAACAATTAACCTCAAAACAGATTAATTCAGCTATTGTTGAACCCACTTGTGGAAAAAATTGATGACCTTCATTTGGAAGTGAAAGGAGGTGGAGGATACCCAACTCTGCAAGGGATTATTTATAGGCATGCAGTTGTTAGCTGCTGTTTAAAAAAATAAAAAACCTCTAGACAGTTAATTTATTAAAATTGTATTCATTATACATAAATTCATACTTACAAAAGAAGTAAGGCAAAAAAGTATAATATGAGAAATGTAATTTAGTAATTAAATCTTGTTACAGAGAGCAGTCTTTTTTGGATAAATGGCAAATCAAATTTTACCAAATGCTATTGCAATATAAATTAGTGAAACAATAACGTGAAAAAACACATTTCCAGTACTTGAAAGCAGAAGTGTATTACTCTTCATGTTGTTAATCCTGCAGTGCAGTAATTATAAATGTTTCGATATGGATTATGGCTAAAAAATATTAATTACATTATAAAGTTTACTCTTAGAGGTACAAATGGTTTGTCTGGTTCAACTTTTTTACAAGTTGGAAATAAATTGCAAAATGATTTTACAGTAGTAACGTGATAGATACACGTGTCATTGTACATATGTAAACAAAAGAAATGATTCTTTTGTTTGAACACTGAACACATTTACCTTTTTGCTTATTTCAGAGGAATAAATGTTTCCATCCTCTTCTCTGGTAGAAGTAAAATTAAAAGAACTGTAACTAATTCTGAGTTTTCTCAGTATTTTTACATTGCATTTTCACTTTCTAATTTGTTTGTTTGTTTCTTTGTTTTCCCTCTATGTGTTTCTTGCTGTGTTTTCCCTCTTTCCTTACCTTTCTCTACAGTACAATGGAGTGGCCTTTCAGAATAAATAAATGAAGTGGAATAAATCAAAAATAGGAAAATGTATTTTAATTCTTTCCCTATAGTAACCAGAAGCTAAAAGTGACCGTAGGAGTTTAAAAGCTAGCATATTGTTCCTTTGCTATAGTTTGATCGTCATAGTCTTGTGAGGTACATAGAACTTCACTTTACAAGTAGTGAAATCAGACTAAAATCACAAAAGGATGTATGAGGGGAGTCATATGAAATGCAAAAGGGAATATTTAATATACACAGAAACACATCTTTTTAAAAGTGGAGAATCAGCAAGTTTGCTGTAGTTTTCATCTATGTCATCATGTCAAATGCTTTTTTTTTTTTTTAAATTGCACGTAATCCTTTGAATAGTTTTTTCTTCCATGTCACTTCACCTATGTGTATTTTTGGGGTCTTGATTACAGTATTGAACCCAAAAGGCTGAATTGACTCGAAGTTACTGAGTTCCATAGTTTTGCTTTGAAAGCAATGAAAGTCCCTAGTTAACTGAAATGGTTTTTGAAGTTGGATCTTGAATTGAAGGTAGTGCATAGGGAATGCCCACCTCTTGGGTTCCTGCTCCTCCCAGTTCTGCTTCTTTCTTGTCCATCACATTGTTACGTGGCTTACCAGGCTGTTACCTGGGCAGAAGCCCAGGTCACCCCCTCACAGAAGCCAGTCAGTCCTTCAGGTAACATGAGCCTTCCAAGAGGCTTTGTGTGTTAGGACAGAAGCCTTGAACTGAATATTGTATTAGTCTATTTAATTCCTCCTGAGTATAGTGAACTAAAGGAACCCACCCAAATTAGTCTAATAAAGCGTTTGATCACTATAAATAAACTTTTTTGGCTCCATGGGGATCTGACGGCTTTTTAAAATGTGGGTTATTTTAGCGATTGTAAAGAAGATATTTGTGATGAAAGCTAATGGCAAGATACTTAAAATGAGACCTGTGATACTATTCTAAAGCTAACTATTCAGCAATACTCTAAAATGTAACAAAGATATCACTGTGCTGTTTACTTGTGCCAGACTTGCCTTTGAAGTATAGTCTTCCAGCAAGCAATTAGTTCTTTTGCTTTTAGGTAGGACTGATGAAGCCATATCTGCAACACAGCTCCATTAATGGAACAGCTTTTACAGAGCTTTGTTTCTGCTGCAGTCTATCAGGATGAAAAGAAGTGGTAAACCTACTCAGGTAATGGGATTGGTAGACTGACTAAATATGAGAAGCAAATCTTTTGGTAAAAGCTGTGTTTATTTGTGAATTTGTTTCTTAAAGTTGAACTGTGAGCACTGAATGATGCTCTTTGAGTCTCATTTCTAGTTCACTTTGGTTTAAGTGTTTGTGATGTCTTCATGGTTAGATAACACTGTTAGTGCAGGGTGTAATGGGAAATCACAGCCTTCCTTGTGTGGAGCCCTTCAAGCTTAAAATACAAATTGCAGTATTTCTGGGGCAATCCTGCAGATAAATTTACAACACAGTGTGAAATCAAGCTTGAAGTCTCAATTAGTCTGTCACTTGCCATAGAATATTCTGGGCTTCTGGCATAAGCAGTTAAAACAATGATTTAAAACTTGTGACTGACTAACCTTCTTTTGGTGACAGCATCTTTTCCCTTCTGACACAGGTTGGTGTTTCTGTGTTTTATTGTGGGATAGCCTGGGGCCCTGTTGCTATTTGTCCCTCTCCCCTCCAACACATTTTTCCCTTTACTGCACTGTGGGTGGAATTCACTTGCCTTTGCTTAGGAAACTAGTACTGTTTTAAACATGCTGGAGTGTGGTGGCTGGCATCTAGCTGCCCCTGCAGAAGGTGTTGCTCTCTTCTACGCCTTCTGTCAAATCTGCTAGCCCTGTGCAAATCTCTGTTCCCTAAGGCATCCAAAGTGGCAGGAGACATCTATATGTACACAAGTAAAGCCCAACCTTTCTGTTAGTCTTCATGTCCTGTGTCTCCTACTTTCCAATGTTCCCCCCTATGGTTTTCAGAAACCCTATATAGTCTGAAGTCTTCTTGTGCTTGACTGGAACCTGGATCCCTCCCATTACAGAGCACTGATCTTGGGAGGTGACTTTCAAAATAAACAGGAAATGAGTTTTTTATACTTCTACATAGCGACAACCGTATGAGAGTTACTGTTTACCGTGATTAACAGAAGGTGCTGTGTAAATTGGAGTCCTAGCTTAGGTTGTGATAGAGTATTCTGTAGTCACTGCAGCATGAAATTGTACATAATTAAAAAACAGATGATGCAAAAATTTTTGAGATTTTACAAGTGACCATGTTGAAAATCTGCTTCGGCTTGTCTGTGTGTATGACACATTAATTGAGTTTGTCTCATATAATCTCGTTTAATGTACTGGAATCCACAGACTACTCTTCAGTGTCTGCATGGTGGCTGTGTGTTTTGTTGTGCCATATATCATCTGTGTTTCAGGTAGTGAGGTGTCACCGAGATGTGAGGAGGTGGAAAATAACAATTTGTCATGAAAACTTCAGCTAATGATGAGCTGTGCAAACAGCAGTGGAAACTTTTAGCTTTTGTATAAGATACGAAAAAGTATCAACTTGCTCAAATTGTGATACATGTATGCAGAGGAGTTACAGTATGGATTTTATATAAATACCATACTGTGAAAGGTGAAGGAATACTTAAACTTATGAGCTCTTCAGAAATACACTTCTAAAGCTGCTGCTTCAATGCTAAAATGTTATTTGGAGACTTAGGTATTATAGACAATACATAGTGTAACCTTCTACAGCTTTTTCTGTTGTGCCTCAGTTTGCTCTTTAAAATTATAACTCTTTCAGATATATTTGGGACTTTCAAGGGAAAATAGTAATTTCAACAATGTGCCTAAACTGTTTCGATCTTGTAGATGTTTATCAGTTGTGCATTACATGCTTTCCAACATTGGAGATGCTGTAACTGGAGCCATGACTCTGTTAAAGAATCAGACATTGGAGGAACACAGCATAGGTCTCCAAATCCACAGGGCTATTGAATAACTTATAGCAAGTTTCACAGTCCAGGTCTTGATTCCCTCATCTGTAACATGAGATAATAATTCCCCACCTCAGAAGCATGTTGTTAGGTAAAAATGTTCATTTTGGGTGCATGGGTGTTTCAGAAACAGGGCTTATGTAAAAATTAAGAATCAGGAAACATGCATTCAAAGTATAGCCCAGAGCTTGCAGTGGTGTCTGTGCTGGCAAAGACTTCTGCATTGGCAGTGTCTTTGGGAATATCTGGAAATCACATGCAAAGGTCAGTAGGATGTTTTTAACTAGAAAATCACACAGTAGTTCAACTTTTTGATAGATTTATCTATTCATGTCCCATTTTAGAACAACTTCAAAGTGTTACTTTCTTGCTTGATGACCAAAATCCAGTTAGGACAGACAGGTGACTTTCACTATTAAGATTTATGGAAGACAAACATTAGGTAAAATACTTAGTTATCATTCTAAGAAGTTTCTGATCTTCCATTATAGTGGCAAGTTCCAAAAATAGCTGAGTACAATAGGAAATCTTTAACAGGGAGGAAAATCTGAGCTCCCAGTGTTCTCATCTCACGTTTGAATTTTTTTTCTGGCCTTTGAAATGGTAAAAACCCCCAACCTACCCCTTATTTCAGACACATGAAAACTCTGAGCATTAGTGCTTGCTCAGTCAGTGAGCCCAAAATAGATTTGCTAGGGTGTTGCATGACCCACTATACTCATATTTAATAATTATAAGCTACCTTTGCTGTTCTTAAACAGCATGATGCATCCTAAGGAGGTGCAGTATAGCATCACAATATTCTGGAATAATGATCTTTACTTACCTGATGAGGTAAGACTGAAAGTAAGCTTTTGCTTGCTCTAATATGTCAGTCAGCAGACCTCTTCTAAAAACAGCCAAGAATTTAAATGTCTCTTTTTGACTTAACCCCAGGCAACAACTGAGCCCCACGCAACTGTTCACTCACTCCCTCCCAGTGGGATGGGGAGAGAATCGGTAGGGTAACAGTGCAAAAACTCATAGGTTGAGATAAAGATAGCTTAATAGGTAAAGTGAAAGCTGCATGCACAAGCAAAGCAAACCAAGGAATTCATTCACCATTTCCCACTGGCAGGCAGAGGCTCAGCCATCCCCAGGACAGCCGGGCTCCATCAAATGTAATGGTGACTTGGGAAGAGAAACACCATCACTCCGAATGCCCCCACCTTCCTTTTCCCCCCCAGTTTTATTGATGAGCATGACATCATATGGTATGGGATACACCTTGGGTCAGTTGGGGTCAGCTTTCCCAGCTTCTTGTGCACCCCCAGCCTACTCACTGGTGGGGCAGCGTGAGAAGCAGAAAAGGTCTTGACACTATGCAAGCACTGCTCAGCAGTAACTAAAACACATCTGTGTTATCAACACTGTTTTCATCACAAATCTGAAACATAACCCCATGCAAGCTGCTATGAAGAAATGTAACTCTATCCCAGCCAAAACCATATATATATAGCTCTGTATGTACTTTCTGTGCTTCTTTAATCTGTGGCCACCATTGAATGGCTATGTTGGGCTTTCTAGAGAAAAAGAATGGAGTAACTCAGTTACCTTGTCAGGATAGTCTGCAAAAAAAAAAAAAAAAAAAATTGCAAAAAATTGCAAAATGCAGAAGTTCCATCCTAACGATTTCAACATCATTTTTCCCCACGTGAGTGACAATCCAGCCTTCAGACCAGTCCTGAACTCTTTAAATCAGCAATCTGCTGTAACACTGTCATGAATTTGTATGTGTCTGCTTTTTCCAGTGCCCTACTTGTATTCTACCAGAAAAGGCATTTTATTGCCATTTCATTGGTGCTCTCTTGATCTTCTTGATCTGGTTTTGCGTGTTCAGAGAAAACACAGCACCCTTTTATTTAGGGCCATCAAGCTTACGGAAAAGTTGTAAACAAGAATATTTTATTGATCTTGTGGCATAGGTGTTGATGTGTATTGTGATTTTAAAGAAATTTTGTGTGTTGGATTTTTGGAGCTGTATAGTGTAGGCATCTGATAACTGAGAAGGAAGTGTTAACTCGACTCTGAAAGCAATAGGAACTAGAGATCTCATTAAGCTAAATCTTCTTCACATGTTATGTTTTAGAAAATCTTCATGAGACCCAGGGTGAAGGAGGAGGAATGCCTGTTGCTTTTGATGAGACAAGGGTGATTACCAGAGCCCACTGAAGCACTTTAGATATGAGATAGTCTTAAGAATGCTTTTTAGGAGTAGGCAAACAGTGGGGTGCTCTGCAGTATTTTGTATTACCTTGAGAATATGCAGAACATTATAGCCAGAATATACAATAGGTTGTGAATTCTTGTGCATTGTATAAATTTGATTAAGTCTTGCTGCTTGGAGTAGTTTCTCATCCTTGTTGTTAACCAAAGAAAATAAGATCCAGTTTTCATAAAATGAAACTCTACTGCTGAGAAATAAACAGTGCACATGTTTTAACAAAAGAGAGGCCCCTTTAGCTGCTTTGTAGGTCAGTGTTCCTCTACTCATGGCAGCTCTCCTGTTTTACCCAGTGAGGTGAAGGAGAGGGATATCTCTGAAGGTGTGTCTCTTCTATGAGATTGGTATGTCTACCTGGGCTCTATACAGAAGAAACCATCCATGCGGGTAGCGGATGTTGAGATGTTGACCTCTGGATATTTGACTGACATACTGTAGAGCACTTGAATTGAACTGACAAGTGGCATAGTATTCTGGTAAACTTTCTCAGAATAAATGCATCTTTTTTACTCTCCTTACCCTCCCGTTTTTGGTCCTCATGTGCTAAGTGGTCAACGTTTGGCCAGCCCTTTTTGTTTTTTTTTTTTGTTTTTTCTTAAAATTGTTCCTATTTCATGGTAAAAACAAAGCAGACCTTGAATCTGCAGTCACATGCTGTTGCAGATACTTTTTTTTTTCTTGTTTCTTTTTTTAAAACCCTCTCATAGGTAAATATTTAGTCAATTTTCTCAAGACTTCTAACAGTATTATAACTTGTGGTGGTGCGTAGGTTGTTTGCAAAGACACCAAAGCAGTGTCTAGAGATGGCTCTAGGCTGAAGTTCAGATGTCATCAACCTCTTTATAACAAAACTATCTTACTGCAGAGAGGAGCACTAAGACTGTGATTCCTGGAAATGCGGTTAGACAATATAATGCCACCGAAATAATCCCTGGGAAGAGCTGCAGAAGTAGTGAAGAGTTGTATTACACTGGTACAGTGCATCAGTCCAAGCCCGTCTCTCTTCCAACAGCAGTTCCGTACTCATTCCTGAATGCAATAGACATGCAAGTGATTTGTTTAGCTTCCTATTTTGTTCTTTTTGATTTGTAAACCAAAACATCCAATTTATTTTCAGCCATATTTCTACAAAATTGCATAGTTTGAATGCCCACTTACTTGATTGCTTGAAAGCTTTCATCTGTAGAATTTGGCTGTTTAATTTGTGTGCTCTTGGGTGTTATTTTGTCAGAATTCAGAGTTCAGCTTTGAATGCACTGCATTATATTCACATTGTTTTTATTTTACTATCTATATATATTTTACTTTGGGTGCATCAAAGGTTTCTGTCAAACCTTTATAGTAAAGTGTTCTATTTTCTGCTGGTTCCTGCCTCTGCATGCTCTTAAAATAAACCAGCTAGACCCAAAAAAATTCCTTTTGTTCTTACATGCGTGTGTACGCCATTTTGAGATAAGGTGTGGATTTAGATGGCAGAGACGATAAAGAGGAATTTTGGCTTTTGCGAGGTTTTGATTTGAATGCACTCTTTTTTTATTTACTTTCTGCTTCCTTGCCCCTTTGCCAGCAGAACAATTGCAATATTTCACTTCCCTTCTGGGGTTCCAAAAGAAGACTTAATACAAGGAGAATTCCCCAAAACACTGGTGTGTTAATGGGAACAATCCTCTGATTCATGAGATTAGTGAATAGCATAGTTTAAAAAAAATTTTTTTAAGTCCCATAGCATTGTAGGACTTTGATTTTGTTCTGATATAAATGACTTAGTATTGCAGAAGTAGAAGGCTGCCTAATAGGGAATTTATACCTTGCAAGTGTGGGGATTTCATACAAATAGATGAAGGTGATTTTGGCAGCACAAAGTGACATTATATTATGGGCAGATGTATTGTTATTCTGGCAAGAGATGAATGATATCAGTAAAATGTAACAACCTAAGAAAAAGCGGGGCCAGGTTCTTGGGTAGAATAGATAAATGTATACATATATTGAAGGGATGAGGGGGAGATGCTTTTAACAGAGAGAGAAAAGTGCTCTTAAAAGGAAAAAAAAAATGTGTAAGCTTATTTCTTTAAAAAATACTACACCCAAAACCAATTCCCCCCCCCACTCCCACTCAAAAAACCCTTTGTTTGCTTCTGTTTTAGAAAATCTAATGAGGCCCCTTAAGAACTATGGAATTGCATGGTGAGCATATGTTTTAATTTAAATCAAGCTTCTTTACAGATGTACTTGGTATTGTGCTGGAAAGCTAAAGTTTTTGCCTTGTTGTTTCAGCATGTCTATGGGTTTCTTGATAGAAGAGTCTGCCCCAGTTGTGTGGAGAGGGCTCATGGTAATGTCAGCTGTTGAGAAATTATTGAGACAGGTAAGGACTTAGGTGCATATTCGTGTTTCACATTAGTTGGTTATTTTAAAAAGCATTTAACATGAGTGTCCATGACATGATTTCATATCTTAGTGGTGAGTATTTTTGTATCTTGGTGGTCTTAAATTCTAAAGAATTTAATCTTAACTTCAGGGAGAGGGATAATTGACGCTTTTTACATTCACCTATCCTCTTCAAATAGAGCTGTTGTTCCATGCATTTGATGAGTGAATCATGCCAGTTTGCCTTCCTTCTCAATCCTTTTTAAATGTCTTTATGCAATTGTTATTAAAAAAAAAAAAAAAAAAGGCATTTTGAAGTTGCCTGAGGATTTGAATGTATAGGCATCTATGCAGAAAAAGGTATTTGGCGGTTGCCTGAGGATTTGGGTGTATGGGCATCTATGGAGATCTACAGCTGTATTCCCTTATGTGCTTGTTAATTCACCAGCACTAAGAATTCTTGGATGGCATTTGACACATGACAGGTACATGAAAATCATTAGATACCATCTCTGTGTAATGCAGATAGATTGTTAGTTAATAAATTTCCTGGCATATGGGAGCAGGGTGTCTTTTTTATTTCTTGACAGTTTTTTTTTTTTTTTCCTTCTTATTGTGAATAGATCTATGAAGTGCTAATGAGACAAACAGCTGAAAAAATGCATTAAGGTTCCATGTTTAGATTTTGAAGTGACCCAGATTGTTCACGGCTGACATCCATTCTAGGGATTTAATGTATACAGCTTTGAGATCACTAGGCTTCTGTATGTCTTCTGTAAATGCCTCCAAATCTTGTGCTCCTTTAATTACTGAAAATAAGATTTTTTTTTCTTTTAGCCTTTTTCCATTTTTACTGAATTCTCCTCTAACACAGACTTTTGAATAGTAGCAGTTATTGCCCTAGTCAGAAAAGCCATCTGTCTGCCAAAATTTCAGGAAGAACATCTTTGTCTGGATTGGGCCTTTAAAAATAAGGGGTATCCATGCCAGTATCTGTGGAAGGCTGTTCTGACCTCTTTGCGTTGGCCAGGCTCACAAAGATGAAAGCCTAAAACCTCAAAGGTAGAGCTGAAGTCAGCACCTGCCGTACTGGCATCTCCACCCTGGGAGACCGAAGAGTGTCAGGCACTCCAGTGCCGTTACTTCTGTCGGGAGTGGCCCCAGATGGGAAGCATGTGCCAGCATCCTTGTGGAGGGTGCGGATGATGCCATGTAATGAGCTCGTTGCTCCCTAGCAACCGAACGAAGCAGTTACGTGCTGGCCAATCATGCCATAGGAACGAGACAGAGTCCATTAATGTTTGGGGCATCAGTGATTTCCCTGACTGTGGAACCTGAATTCTGAAAGAGGAAGGCTTTAAGCGAAACTTTTTCTCCCCACAAGCATTTTGCTTCTGCATGATGACCAAGGTAGTCTTAAATCTGTGCTGGAAAAAGTTGTTTGCATCTCCTTAGAAGAGAGAAGCTCACAGATCACAGGCAGAACCAGCAGGTTCTGGCTGATGTACAACTGGTTTTTAGAAAATAACTAGTAATTTTTTCAGGCTAGCACATGCTATTTTGGTTTTAAAAACTGTAATGTCCCTTCTGCCATAGTTACTAGGCATCTCAAGAAGGGGTTAACTGTAGAACCAATAGTGTTATAGCCTTGGACACCTGAATAAGAGACGACCACAGCATGTGATGATGTTTTTAAAGATACTATCATTCCATTTTATATTAGAAATAGTTATGTGATTTGTCGGAGGCTTTGAAATTTTTCCTTGTTTTCTCATCTGTTCTGGTTGGTCTTAGCTATTACCTTCTGTTTGACAGGATAAAGTTGCTTGCTGCTTGTATTTAACTTCCTAAAACAATATTATTCAGAAATAGCTGCTTTACCTCTATAGCTACATATAAACCATTTAAATTAGCTCCCTAATCTAGATTTATAGTATAATATAAGTGTAAGGAGCTTGTGTGCATTCAGACAAGCTGATAAAATATTAAATTCTTAAAATAGTTAAGTCAGCCAGATAGAGAAAACAGAGGTTCCCAGATTTTTGCATTAAAAACACTGGTGATATTTTATAGTGGTGTTTATTGTTAGATGGCGGAGGGATTTTTCTTTGTTTTACAAGCATCAGGAGTATGCATTCACTCTGTAAATAACTTTGGATGCTTGTTTGCTTTTTTCTAGATGAAAAAATCTGTTTTCCAGAGTTTATCATGCTTCAGATACTCCAATAAAGCATTGAAAGGCCTAGTTTCCAAATTCATTAATGGAGACTTGTTAACTCATAATTGGTCTGTGCCAGTAATGAGTATTTAAATGCTTCTCTTACACTTTCAACTTAGATTTCTGGAACTCTTACTTTGGAAAATACATTTGTTAAATATATACATTATGTGCCTTCTTATATACTCATTGTATGTAACCTCACTCTTTGTAATACATATATATACTTGTCTTTCTCTGGATTTACTACTTTGAAGGATGAATGGCTTTTCAGCACAGCTCAGAGTCCAACCTCATTTTTGTCTCTTTTCACTTTTATTTGCTTATGGGCAGGATGTACATCACTGATAAAACATCTTTTAAATCCAAGCTCTCCTTCTGCCACATACCTAGTCTGAGACACCTTTGAGTTGTGTGGTGTCAGACTGGTAGTTAAGAGGCAATAATATTGAAGACCAAAATTAGTGTGTGGTGTTTCTCTGGTAATCCATATCTCATGAGCAAGGATGGTTTTCTGGAACATGTCATATCATTTTCCTTAAACAGAGTTTGAAGAAAATGTGCCTTATAACACAAAATAGAGTTAACAGTTTAGTATACTATAGAAAATATATAGCATATTGATTCTATAATGTGTCCAACTTTTAATAAAAGTATGCTCAATAGAAAAGAAAGGGATGATGATAAGTTATTGAAAGAAAAAGAAATACATAAAGAAATTATTTTTTTACCTGTAGCGAAAGTAGATTACAAACAGTAATGGAACATTTCTGTATCAACGTATTGTATTCATAACTCTTTCGGTTAAATATATCTCTAGTTTGCATGCCTTGAAATTACCTGAAGTTTTGTGGCTGAGAATTGACTTCTTTGTTTAAGTAACTACATGTACCATGGGCCTGTTGAGACTGCAGGGTGATCTTTTTCCTTTATCTGCATTTTAATTCTTCCCATTTCCCTGCCACAATTTTCTTCATATAAGAATTATTTCACATCTGCTAGCACTTCTTTTGAATCTTGCTTGCCTGTAGGTGAGATAGAAGAGAGTATTTTTTTATTTACTTGAGTTTTTTTAAAAGATAGTTCTTTTCCCTGAAGATATTGTTAAAGCCCAGTGTCCTGGGTTGAGTGAGTGGTGGGGTTTTTTTGGTGGCAGAGGAGGGGGCTGTAGGGGCAGCCCCCTGTGAGAAGCTTCTCTAAGCTCCCCCAGCTCCAAGTCAGCTCCACCTCTGCTCAAAAACTGAGCCAATCAGCTGCACCTCTGCAACAACATATTTAAGAAAGGACCTGGTGACGAGCAGTGGGACTTGTGAGGAGGAGTTGCTGCAGCTGCGTGGACACCAAGGCCAGTGGAGGAACGGAGGAAGAAAGGAGGGGGGAGGTGTGCCGGAGCAGAGACCACCTGTATCCTGTGGTGAGACGGCAGGGTGGCCCCCCCCTGCCACCCATGGAGATCTACGGTGGAGCAGACACTGATTAGTGGCCTGTGTTTTGCATGGTTGATCAAGGTGCCGTGCCCGAAGAAGGCCAGGGTCTCATGGGAAAAGGCAGCCCTGCTACTGTAATTCAGCACTGGGAGGATTGCAGCATGCGGGGGTGTCCCACGCCGGAGCAGCTCGGGAAGGGCTGCAGCCATGGGAGGGAATCCAGTCGGAGAAAGTTGGTGACCCATGATGGAGCAGTGTGGGGAACGCTGCGGCGCGTGGGAGGGACTCACATCGGATAACGTTTGTGGAGGACTGTCTCCTGTGAGAGGTGACCACAACAGATGGAGCAGGGGGAACAAGTTCCGGAAGCTCGCCCCACTGAAGTTGGAAGAAGCAGCAGCACTGGCTGCACCCCCATTCCCTGCCCTGCGCTGCTACAGGGAGGAGGTAGAGATATCAGGAGCAGACCTGAGCCCGGGAAGAAGGGAGGGGTGGGGGGGAAGGTGTTCTCAAGATGTGGCAAGGATTCTCACTGTCCTACTCTGTTAAGTATTGTTGTCAGTGTCTGTAATCAATGTATGTTCTTTTTTTCTTCCCCTAACGAGTCTGCCTTTTGCTCATGACCATAAAGGCGGATTTTTCCCCATCCCAGTCCTATCTCGAACCCCAAGCCTGGCTCTCTGTCCCTTCTTACTGCCAGAAGAGATGGGAGAGAGAGTGGCTGCGTGGTGGTTGGCCGATGACCAGGCTTAAACCACGACACCCAGGTAAGGAAGTTTTGATAGTTCTCCTGTGTCATCTGTAGCAATAAGCTTTTTCTATTCAGTTTTCACTTAACATATGCTTCAGAAGCTGCCTACTCTTTTCTGTAGTCCCATTCAGCAATTGTTCCTTTACTCTATGTGTGTCTTGACTCAGTGCTATGATACTTGTTCAGATTCAACAAGCTACTTCAAAATGCATCATCTTGTATTTATCGTGAGAGTGACTTCTGATTAACCTTTAGGCTAAGTACAGTAGAGATACAATTTTTTTTTGAAAGTTACCTAAAGCCTGTATTTAAACAGTAATGTGTCTGAAAAGCTCTGTTGAAGTAACTTTCAAGTAGACAGCTACGAACCTTATAAAGATTATTAAAAACAAAAAACCAAGGAAAACTTATTTGCTGGTTTAAACTACTTTTGCAACAAGGATTTTAAATGGTCATCCCCACTGTCCCATACAGTCTGTATGGTAAGATTTCTAACGCCGTTCTCATTTCTTTCTGAGGACATCTTGACAGTTCAGTGGCAAAAGAGCAATTAGAAGGGTGCAGGCACAATCTTGAGCTGATCCAGGAGCAGCCTGACTGGC